CCCTAACCCTTCCCTCTGTCAGGCTGAAGCTGTTCCCCTTTGCCCTGTCACTTCGAGCTGTTGTAAAAAATCCCTCCCCACCTTTCCCGGAGGCTCCTCCAGCTCCCGGATTATCCCACTGCCGCTGGACAGGGAGCCTCCTCCAGGCTCCAGGACGTACCTGATGGGCAGGGAGGGGTCCCCAGCGTCCCACCAGTCCTTGGGGGGGCTGATGTACATGCACCACAGCTCCCAGCTGTACCCATGGGCAGAGTTCTCGTAGCGCTGCACCTCGAAGTTGTCCTGCTTGATGTTGTCTATGGAGGGCAGGATGACCCTCTTCCGGTTTTCCTGGATCCGGGAAAGCACCGGCTCGGCCCTGAAGCAAAGTACAGAAGAGAGTGTGAATTCCTCCCAGAATTTGCAGCTGGGCACTGTAGCCTCCATACAGTTTGGTCCCAATATCCCACCTAACCCTGCCCTCTGGCAGCGGGAAGCCATTTCCCTCTCGTCCCGTCACTCCTCAAAAGTCCCTCTCCGGCTTTCTTGGAGGCTCCCTTTGGTACTGGAATGTGCTCTTCAGTCTCCTCAGAGCCTTCTCTCCTCCAGGCTGAGTAACTCCAGCTCTCTCTGCCTGTCCCCCAGCCCTCAGAGCACCTTTGTGGTCCTCATACGGACCAACAGCTCCATGGCTTTCTTGTGTGGGATGAAAACATGATCCCCAGGCTGGGAAGCCTGGCTTGAAACCTTCCCTTCTGGAAAGCAAGGCCATGAAGGACATGCTTTGTTCAAACCATGCCTGAACTAGTCCAGACTTCCCCCAGATCCAAACCCCATTTCCCTGAGAAGAACAAGATAAATTCTTGAAAGCAGGACTGTCTGAAGGGTCCTTTTTCCCTTGGGATATGGTTTGATGACTCTGCAGCAACAAAATTCAGTTCTGGGACACTCAGACATGTTCAGAGCAGGGGGTTGTGCTCAGCCCCCATCTGCCCTGGGCTCCCTCTGCCAACACAAGGGGTAACCTGCACTCTTGGTGTCTCCAGCAGTGGGTACAAAAGACCAGAGGGAGTCAAGCCACCCTGCAGAAACACCTCCTCTCTACCCCTAGAAAAAAGGCTTCAAGAGCTCAGTAAACAGGAGCTTCCTCAGTAGATCAATAAAATCAGGTGTGAGGGCTTAGTGACCTGGAGAGAGGAATGTTCAGCTGGGAATACAGATATCAACACAGGAGACAGCTCCTAAGGACACCCTTCAGCTGCACCATTGTTACAAAGTCAATAACTGTGCAGAACTCTGGCTTCTTCCACAAACATGGACCATTTACTTCTTACACTTGGTTAAAGGGAAAAAAAAAATCCCTCTCAGGCTCCTGTCATGATATAGATTCAACCTTAAGCCAGCTGAGCTCAAATGTTTTGAATCTCTCTGAAAAAAAAATCCTTAAGAGACACCTTTTGCTGCTTTTGCACCTCTGCACTTATTCCCAGCAGTAGAGGAAACAAATCAATCCAAAGCATCTGAGCCTTCCCCACTGGGATCCAGCTTCAAAGGGCATGGAAATGGGAAACACTTTCTCCTTCAGTCCCTTGTGATTGGGCTTTCTTAAACCTACAGAAATTACTTAAGGCTAAGGAAATGGGAAATCATCCCGAAAAATGGAACCAGGGAGCAGGGAAAGTGCAAAAAGGGAGGGAA